TCAGAGTTAGTGTCTGCTGAGGCCTCTTTTCCTGGTTTGTAGATGGCCTTCTGTCTGTGTCCTGACTTGGTCTTTCCTCTGTTGCACGTGGAGAGGTATCTGATATCTCTCCCTCTCCTGCAAGGATACCAGTCTTGTCCAATCAAGATCCCACCCTTATGACCTAACTTAATCTTAATTACCCCCCATAAATGCACTGTTATCAACTACAACCACACTGGGGATTAGAGCTTCAACATGAATTTGGTGGGTTGGGCACAGTACAGTTCAGAGCACCCTCTGTGGTCTGAAGACAATAAACCATCTCTTCCTCTGCTTTTCTTTTTCTCTTTAGAGTTCTACTGTGTGACAGGCAAGAATCTCGCCCAGGGGAATGGTTGGTTAGGAAATTCTTTGGCTCCTTACCAGAATCTTGGGCCAGTGGGCACTCTGCGCCAGTGACAACTGTGGTTAGGGCCATGCTGAACAACGCAGTGCGCCCAAGCGGCGAGAAGAAGGAACTGCTGGATAATAAGGCCATCCATGACCTGGGGAAAGCCGATAGCTCTCTCACGCCATGACCACGCTGGAGAAATGCTTTCTACTGTAAAGCTCAACACCCGCCACCTCATTGGTACTTTTCAGGGACCAAAAAAAGTCAGTGTGCTTCACCAGTCTCAGCTGCCCAGATCCAATCAAAAATTACTGTGTTCTGCACCAGCAGTTCAGAGCCTGGTCAGACATATGGATACATCACCCGGGGAGCTTTCAAAAATAGAGATTCGTAGGCTCTACCTCTAACGTCTGAAGAAGAATCTTCAGGGTATGAGGGCAGGAATCTGTTGGTTTTTTTAAAGCTTCCCCTAGTGGTTCTGGTGCCACTGGTGGGGCGGCCTGCTTTGAAAAGCTTCTCTGCAGCCAGAGTAGCAGCACAAACCTTATCTATTATGCAGACGATCTCTATTCTATTCTAAAATTGTCATTTGTGTCTTTGAGTTACCTGCCGCGGCTGCTGTATTTGTGTCAGTGGGCATCGTGCCTTACTACTTCTTTACAATGTATAATAAAAGTCATTATATAACCGAGCTTGTATAATTCCTGGGAGAACTAAATATAGGAAGGAAGATAAATGGACAAGTCCTGGGTGATCGTTAGAAAATCTCCAAGTATCAGTGGTAATGTGCAGCGTTTTGGCCAGTGGGATGATATAACAGTGCTAGTGTTTACCCGGTGCTGGCTAAGTGCCAACCTATGCACATGCTCTCTGTCCTGTAACCCTCCACAATTCTTATAATCCTGGTGGGTGCTACTATCATCCCCATATCTTAGATGGGGAAACTCAGGGCCCAAAGCTGAAGACCTGAAGCTAGGCTATGGCAAAGCCAGGATTCTAACCCAAGTCAGCCTGACCCATAGCTTGTATTATTTTTAACGACTCTGCAAAAGCCTCTGGTATCTGTGTATTTCCAGGAAGTTCCAGTTAACAGTGACTGGATGAGGACATGCTATGGATGAATAAAACTGAAATATTTGTTTTCTTTTATAGGGTTTAGGATCCCAGTAATGATTAACCACAAAATGTTCACATAGCCATTAGAAGTGTATGTCATGGTGCCACACTTTAAAAACTACAGAAAAGGAAAGATACAGAAGGAAGGGTCAAAGTCAAGAGGAGTACACAGTGTTAATTTCCATCCAGGAACGAAGGATAATGGTGAAACCCTGTCTTAACCTCTGTGCTGAGGGAAACAGTGATTTGAATGATCCGGTCCATTTTTACAGGGTCTACAGTATGCCAGGTACATTTCAAGCTTCAGTGGACACCAGACGATAAAGGCCATTCCCTTTAATTGGGGGTGTATATCTGTAGAAGGGATTGGACGTTCCCATTGTCAGTCACCCCGGAAAGAGACATATTTTAGGAAGGGGTGGGGTCAGGCGCCTGGGTGGCTCAGTTGTTAAGCGTCTGCCTTCAGCTCAGGTCATGATCCCAGGGTCCTGAGATCCAGCCCCACATCGGGCTCCCTGCTCCGTGGGAAGCCTGCTTCTCCCTCTCCCACTCCCCCTGCTTGTGTTCCCTCTCTCGCTGTGTCTCTCTGTCAAATAAATAAAAATCTTAAAAAAAAAAAAGGAAGGGGTGGGGTCTTAGGATGTGGACTTTAGAAGGGAGATGGAACATTCCTCCCGCCAGGCAGGGTTCCTTTGGGGCTGGACTCTGAAGAGCCTTTGTGTTTGGGTGATAACAGGCATGGGTTCCAAGGAGTGAGGCATGAGGCGAGGGGACCCTATAGGGACATCCTGAGGCCTGTGGGCTCTAAAAGCTACCCACAGTGGCTAATTTTAAGTTATCCTCTCTATGTTATTTTCTTACCCACAAAACCTTCTGTCAGGTCACGTTCAACTTCCTATTCTGGTCTCAATAGTGAGATGGGATGTCACGGGTAGGGTCTGTCTGTGTTCATCTTTGGATTAGAAAGGAAAGTGGCTCCCTCCCAAACCCAGCATCGTGGTGAGACAAAAACTTAAAGGGACAAGATTCTGGCTCAGTCACCCTCCTAGACTGTGTGTTATTTACTTTAGTGTGTTAACATTGACTGACTGGGTGTTACAAAGGAACTGAGCAGATATCCCTCCAAATGTTATACACACACGGAGAAGGTGGCCCATGCTGGAGAAGGAGTTTATGTTGGAAGGATAAAGCAAAAAGGTGGATGGGCCCAGGTACCAGAGGCCTTGAATTATTTAATTCAGCATACTGAATGCTTCCTAAGCACTCCTGGACACACAGGCAGTGTGGATACATCAGGGAACAGTAAGTTTAACCTATTGGAGCCAGCAGCTATTCTGGCAATATAAGGACAAATATTCAAAACTAATACTTGATACATTCTGTCCTCTACAGATAAGATAGAGGAGTACATTCAGAAGAGTTGAGCAATATAAGGCATCATTTTCACTCAGTAAATTTACCAAGTACCAACTGTGAGTTAGGCCATCTATTATGTGACAGAGAAATGAAAGCAAAGAGACAAGGCCCTTTGAGACAAGGCACAGCGTTGGGGGTAAAACCAAAAAAAGAAAGAAAGAAAAACAAGCAAATGGTACATGCTCAGTAAGAAACTAACAGGGCTGCTGGAAAGACAGTGGAAACTTGTTGAGAAATGGTGGTTTGTATTTGTAGAGCATTCTTAGCAAAAGCCTTGAGGTGTGAAAATGATTAAAGGCTGGAGGGTGGGTGAAGGGTTGGGTTGACATGGAAGTCAGGCAGGGTTATGTGGAGCCTGGTAGGCCAAGGTAGTCAATTTAATTGGATAAACATGTGCCAGTCTCTGGAACTAGAGCTTGGTCAATTACCTACTGAAATTACTGCTGCCCGCTCCCACCTAACAAAGCATTCTGTGGTTTGAGTAGATGTTAGGAAGGGGAAAAAAGGCATGAAGCACGCAATGTTTGTGTTTTTCCCACCCAGCAGCCATTATGTCACTTTCTAAACGTATGGAAGAGCAACTCCCTCGCTTAACCCAGCAGGTCAGCTGCTTCCCACTGTTTAGGATAAAGATAACCTTTAGCTGACCTGCTGCTTCCCATTGTTTAGGATAAAGTTAACACTTGACGTCTAAGCACTTTACATGTATTAAGTCATTTTGTCCTTAGAGTGGCTCTGTGGCTAGTGCGGTTATTATCCTTGTTTTGTAGGTGAGGAAGTGGAGGCGGTGAGAGGTCTTGATGTTGCTCAAGATCAGAGTGACAAAGTGACAGACGTAGGATTCAGACTGACTAGGTTGGATCGGAGTCCATGCTCTCACTTAACCACTGCACTTTAAAGACTAAAATCCTTAAAACAGTCCTCCAGGCTTTGGCACCTATGTGTGCTCTGTACCCCCACACTGGCTCCTGCAGTCTTGTCTCCCCACCCTGCTGCACCCCAAGGGAATCAGGGAGCCCAGGAACCAGAGTCGAGTCTCAGGCCCTTACTTGCGCTCCGTTTCTCCGCCAACAGAGGGCGCCGCGGGTAGTCCGCCCCCTCCACTAACGGCCTATTCCTCGAATAAGAGACGCACAGAGGGCGCGGAGCCCATCGCAAAACCGCTGGGCGCCTGCGTCTCTGGGCTCAGGGGCGCAGGGGAGGGCCTCCCGCTAAAACCTGCCGCAGCGCGAGGAGGAGACAAAAGACACATCAGGGTCTGCGGCGTTCGGTCCAGCTTTCAGCGCCTACTCGGCGCGCGATACATCACCCTTGCCGCTGGCGGAAGCGGAGCACCGGCTCCCGCCCCGCCCCCAACTCACGTGACCAACAACCACGGCCTCGAGGCCGGAAGCGCTTCCAAGCCGGCGCGCGCGCGTTCTCGCGTTTGTTGGCGACATTTAGGCTCCCCGAGTTCCGTCCCTGCCTTGCGCTCGCGCTCGTTCGCAGGGTTCCGGGTCCGGCTTGCTCGGCGGCGGCTGCGCGCACGCTGTCCAGCCGGGTCCCCGCCCCCAGGCGCGCGAGATTCCGGGGCAACACAGCCATGTGCTCGTTAGCGTCGGGCGCTGCGGGTGGGTATCCCCGACTCCTTAGCGCCCTTTTCGCCCGGCACGCAGGCCGCCGGGCGGGAGAAAGACCCTCCCCTCCCGGCTGCGGTGCGGGACGGTGGCCTGGCTGGGAGGGTAGGGGAGGCGCGGGCGAGGGCCGCGGGGGAGCGGGGAGGAGGGCAGCGCACCCCCTACCCCGCTCCTCGTGCGCCCGGCTCGCACTGGTGTCCGTCCGGGGCAGGGCTGATCGTTTGCGTGTGCTAGGCGGCCGGGGCGCTGTGGCGGACGAGGACGACCTGCCGGAGCTGTCCGACAGCGGTGACGAGGCCGCCTGGGAGGACGAGGACGATGCTGAGCTCCCCCACGACAAGCAGCAGACCCCCTGCCTGTTCTGTGACAGGTTCGTCTTCCTCAGTGCCACGCGCCACCCGTAGGGTGCCCGGGCCCCGTGGGCCCGTGTGGTCCGTTCGTCTGAAGTCCAGCCCGAGCGGCCTGCCCGCGAATCCTTGAACGGGTGGTGTGGAGTGAGGGTTTGTTGAGAAAAGGAGGAAGCACAGTGCTGTCGAGGGAAGAGCCATGAACTGGAAGCCAGGTTAGGCTAGCTTCTCTTCCACAGGCCTCAGTTGCCCCTTGTGTGAAATCTGCATCCGTGGTTCCCAGACCTAGTTGTGCGCCCTGGTCACTTGAGACTTGAAAAAGATGCTGAAGCCTGCGCCACAGCCCTCCTAAATCAGGGGTGGGGCCTAGGAACCTTCTCTTTTTATAAAGGCATTTTCTGAGGTGATTCTAACGAGGAACAAGTTTGCCAGTCACTAAACCACATAATCCCTCAGGACCCTTCCAGCTTTATCATTCTATACTTCATTAATGAGTACCGAGCTTCTCAGCTGTAATATTTCCACTGGAGCCGTCTGAAGAATCACCTTAGGTAGGGGCTTCCCACCCATTGAAGGGAAAGGAATTGATGCCTTTTTCACTTAGGAAAAAGACGATGCTGTCAGTAATTTGTTCAAGGTCACAAAGCTGTGGTTTGTCTTATATCCAAATCCATGTTTTTTTTCCACCTAAAATTCTGCCTCTTCATCTCAGTAAGCTTTAACTTTGGTCGACTTTCTGGACAGGTGGGCGTGAAAGAGGCCTGCTTGGCATTGGCCAGTGTTACCTGAATAAACATTTTCCAGTTGCCCATAAATCTGGGCATGGTGCTGATTGGTGGTGTATTCGTTCCTCCTGATTGTCATTGTTCTCGCATGTAGCGCCCTTTGCATAGGTACAGAATGTCTCCATATACACCAGTTGTCATAAAATAATATTTTTTGAGCATCAGGGATGTACTTCTTTGTAATAGGCTAAGTACAGCAAAGTAAACATTTGTTGAAAACTAACTGCTGCATATGGGCTGGGCGTACAGAGGTATGCAGCTCCTCCTCTGTGTATTCCTACCTTAAGTATTCTTCAGTTTTGCAGGTCACATAATAGAGAGGCTTGGTCCTCACAATGTCTGTAACACAAGTACTTTCGGAACACTACAAGATCACTTTGGGAATATGCCACCTATAAAAATTACATTTTATGCTTTATTTCTAAAAGGAGTCTGAGCTGTCACAGTTCAAAGCCTCTGGAAGCAGCATTGACACAGAGCAGAAAAGAATCTTCTGTAGGGAATTTTCATATCGAGAGAAACAATCTATCAAAGGGAGTTCTCTTCCTTAAAAGCCTTTTGATAAATTCAGTGCTGCTATTTGGCAAATAAATTAACCTTGACATTTAAAATGTAGTTAGTGTAGGGTGTAACACGGGACTCAGAAGTACTAATTCCCTTTAGAAATGCTGGGTCCCTCTCATCTACAGGTGTTTGTTTTTTCTTAATTGGATATAAAATAGGAATCAGCAGAATGGGGGATACATATTTAACATGAAATCAATATTTAGACTTTTGAGGGAACTATTTCATAAAGTTATTATTTGATTTTTCAGGTTATTTACATCTGCTGAAGAAACGTTTTCACACTGTAAGTCTGAGCATCAATTTAATATTGATAACATGGTCCATAAACATGGTGAGTATTTTTTAGAATAAAGAGAATTTTAGTTGTGAAATTTAAGTTCAAACTTTATATTCTTCCAGATCTTTCCTTTCCTACACAAGCTCAATGTAGTGAAAAATATAACAGCAACCTATCTTACGAAGTTGTTTGGACAAGTAGCCTTTGAGGGAGGACTAATTATAAGTCATTCTTCTAGATGAGATTCACTATATTTAAGATTATATTGACCACAACTAAAAAGGAAAAACAACCTTGGCATGTGATTGCATTTTTATCATATTAGAATTAGGGAGAGCAAGGATGGAGGTGGACTTTGGAAAAGGAAGTGGGTCATTGTGAAAAAAGCTTACCAGGTCGAAGCATAACATGAACTTCAGGGCATACAGGGTTGAGTTTGGCAAGAGTATAGAAAAAGGAGTGATGAAGTTAAGGTGATGAACAAAATATTTAGATGATTCTTTTGAAACTTGCATTTGAGCATACTTCCCTTATAATTAAAGTCTTCTTCTTTAAATGGATGCAGAAGAGTTACATGATTCCACTAAAATTAACTAAATACAGAATTGGTTTTTTTTTAGTCCCTATATTTGCTATCAACTAGAAAAGACATTAAATATGTGATAAAATATGTTTATAAATCAAATTCAACCACAACTGCTTTTGTAAGACATGAATGACTTACTGGGTTTTTTTATGTGCAT